CCACGGTTGTCTCGTTGGTCATTCATGTGGGAAAAAATACATGCAAAAAAATTGGAAATAGAAGTCATCACCGCTCCAACAAGCCAAAATGTACATCATTGCATAAACCATATAAATAACAGAAAATTAGCAAAGAACATAATGAAACAAAAAATGTATCTAGCAAATAAAATTCAAACAAAATAAAAGTGAGATATAATGTCCAAAAAAAAGAAAAATAAAGTGTCCGACAAATAGAATAATATATTAGATTTAAAATAAAGTGTCTGGTCAAAAGAAAAATATAGGTCATCCAAAAGAACTCTTAAAGTCGAGTATCTCATCATAAACCTTCAAACCAAAAAAATAAAACATGCAATAAAAACTTAAATTAGATATTATACCCACGATTACCTTGCTGGCCATCCATGTGGGAAAAATACATGCAAAAAAACTGAAAAATAAGTCACCACCACTCCAACAAGCCAAAATGTATATCGTTGCATGATCAGTATAAATAACACCAAATTAGCAAGAGCATGATGAAACAATAATGTATCTAACAAATAAAAATCAAGAATAACGAAACTAACATATATAATGTCCCCAGAAAAAAGAAAAATTAAGTGTCTGACAAATAGAATAAAATTCATGCATTCCAATTGTCATGAAAATAACGCAAGTAATTGACTCTACGTTCACGGGCCATCGACATAAAAAACAAGTAAAATGACATGTCCTAGTAGGGTCTTCAAGCAACTTCATAGAGAACAAGTAGAATGACATGTCCTAGTAAATTTCTGGAGTTTCTTTCAAAATTCGCATGATTTGTTGAATATAAGTTGATTGTGTGTACTAAGGTCATTTTTGCATGAAGCAGCTAACTGTGAAATTGACTTCTAATAAAAACTGCACAATTTTTCCCTAAGACATTTGGATCGACTAGATTGAACTTCATTGAGGTTAGAGTCAGGGCCTTCATTGGAATCGATAGTTTGCTCGGCATCTACATGCCCAGCTCTATCAACTGAACCCTCTCTCACTTGAAGCCCATGCATGATCACCTGTGACCACGACTCAACTAAACATACGATCCAACTTTTCTTTAAACTCAGGATCAATATCAGTGAGTTTAAATTTTTTTAACATTTACATGACCTACAAATTAATAGACGATTAATATATTGATGTAACTATGGTGAAGAAAAAGACGTTTCATAAATTCTCACCTCCAATCTCGGAGCCCACCATTCCTCTGAAGTATTGATAGTTCACTTTATTGGATTTCAACCAAAGCCCGTGGATCCTAGCTTCAACTCTTTCCATATTTTCTGATTCTTTTTTAAACGATCTCACTTATTTTTCAATTGCATTTTATCATATTCCCTTCAAGTGCTTTTGTTGAATTTTTTTATTATATTTGTCAACCCTCCTTGTTAAAATAAATGGTTGGCCTATTTCCCAAGTCCACCTCTTTAAGGCAGAGATTAAAAATATTAGCTTAACTTTTTTATCCCACATGGTAGAACCAATTTCTTTTATTTTACCCATCACGTCAAACAAGCAAAATAAATTTGTGGTATACAATAAATGTTTTTTTTTCATGAAAACCAAAAAATGAACAATTTAAATGTTTTTTTAGCATTTACATGACCTACAAATTAATAGATGATTAATATATTGATGTAACTATGGTGAAGAACAAGACGTTTCATAAATTCTCACCTCCAATCTCGAAGCCCACCATTCCTCTAAAGTAATGATAGTTCACTTTATCGGATTTCAACCAAAGCTCGTGGATCCTAGCTTCAACTCTTTCCATATTTTTCGGTTCTTTTTTAAACTATCTCACTTATTTTTCGATTGCATTTTATCATATTCCCTTCATGTGCTTTTGTTGAATTTTTTTATTATATTTTGTCAACCCTCCTTGTTAAAATAGATGGTTAGCCTATTTCCCAAGTCCACCTCTTTAAGGCAGAGATTAAAAATATTAGCTTAACTTCTTTAACCCACATGGTAGAACCAATTTCTTTTATTTTAATCATCACGTCAAATAAGCAAAATAAATTTGTGGTATACAATAAATGTTTTTTTTTTCATGAAATCCAAAAAATGAACAACTTAAAAACCCACATCTGTAAAAGTAACACAACAAAGCAAACACACCACCACTACTTCATCCACCAACAACACCATCACCACACTAACAAGCCACCATTACCACACCAACATACCACCACCTACACACACCAACACCACCACAACAACACTACCAACTTGCATAACCACACCAACCAGCACCACCACCACCTGCGCCGCAACAAATAAGCTGCCCCATCATAACCACACCAACAACAAAACACCACCACTCCCATATACACACACCAACAACACCACAAAAACACTACCACAACCACCACACCAAGAAGCTACCACGAACACACAATCAACACAACACCGCCACCACTCCCATATACACACACCACAACCACAACCACAACAACACTATCACAACCACCACAAACAACCCAACTCACCGCCACCACCACACCAACAAGCTGCCATCAACACACCACCACCACGCCATCAACGCACCGGCACCACCGCCACCACTCCTATATATGCACGCCAACACCACAACAGTAATACTACCACAACCAACCCAACTCCTCACAACCACCACACCAACCAGCACCACCGCCACCACTCCTATATACACACACCAACACTATAACAGTAATACTACCATAATAACCACAACCAACCCAACTCACCACAACGACCACACCAACAAGCTACCATCACCACTCTCATCTACACACACCAACACCACACATACCACCAAAAATCACGAAAAAAAGCAAATTCAATACCACCAACAGACCACCATCACATCCGAGAAAGTGGGCAACCCACCAAGACCAACCTTTCAGAGGGCAACCCACAAAGACCAAAGACCAACAGACCATAGAACAACAAATGCAACATGGCAACCAACAACAACAAAACCTTTATCCCACTAAGTGGGGTTGACTAGATGAATCCTTTTACTTCATTGAGTCCTATTTACTGTCATATTTTCATTTAATTCTGATAAATTAAAATCATTTTTATACAATATGCCCAAGTCTTCCTAGGTCTACCTCTGCCTTTCTTAAAATAAATTGAATCTAAAACATCTACACTTCTAATTATCACCGGTCGATGTTTAATGTGACCAAACCATCTAAGACGACTCTCTCTAATTTTGTCTGTCACTAGAGCTACACCAACCCTATCACGGATATATTCATTCCGCATTTTGTCGCATCATTCCGCATTTTGTCTCTAAGTGTAAAGCCACTCATCCATCTAATCATTCACATCTCGGTAACACTTAACTTAGTTTTTTGCTTCTCTTTTAAAGACCAACATTCCGCGTCATAAAGCATTGCAAATCTCACCACCATCTTATAAATTTTCCTTTCAATCTAAGCGATAAACTTGTCTATCACACAATAAGCTCGAAGCATTCCTCCACTTCAACCAACCAACTTGAATTCTACTAATAACATCCCCATCAATATCACCGTCACTTTGAACAATAGACCAAAGATATTTAAAGCGTTCACACCTTTTAATAATTTGATCACCCATAGTTACATTTATGTCACTAGAGCTACTACTACTAAAATTACATTCCATCTATTCAGTTTTAGTTCTACTCAAACAAAGGACTTTAGACTACAAGGTAGACCTCCATAATCCAAATTTTTCCTGAGCTTTTTCTCTCGTCTTATCCACGAAAAGGATATCATCAGCCGAAAGCATACACCAAGGTACATACTCCTGTAAGTGACCAATAAAATCATCCATTGATCTAAGGCATATCCACAACTTTCTTCTCAAGAACTCTCAAAAGTAAATCTCTTGGAACCTTATTGTAAGTTTTTTCAAAATCAATAAAAATCATATGTAGATCCTCCTTATTATCTCTGAACTTCTCCATCAACCCTCTCAATAAATGAACGGCTTCAATGTAGACCTACCCAGCATAAATCCCAAATAGATGGATATAAGGATTATCATTTATAAATAAGAAACACGAATATAAGCCCACAGTTATGTTTAAGCATGTCTATGTTACATGTCAGCAGGGGTATCTGTGTATATTTATATATGCATACCATCACATACATACATGTGCATCCATATATGCAAGATAAATCAAGTTAATTTCTTGCCATCCTTGAGCTCAATAAATTCATTTTGGCAGTAGCATGAGTTGCATAGGCATTGATAGCACAAATACAAATGGTGCATAATAAGTAGCATAACCAAATAGTCTTAACGGAAGAGCAATAAGAGTACTAGGAGAATGAGGGATGAGGATAATGGCACTGCAAGTTTGGATCTTCTCCCAAGCTGCTTTTCCTATAAAGCTCAAGTTCTCATAACAAGAGAATAAGAAAAAGCCAAAAAATCTAGGAAAAAACTATACTATAAAGCATTATGTCTTTGGTTTCACTAATCATAACCATAAACTCATATTAAAATAAAAATAAATAAATAAACTAGCTTATCTGTAACATGTATAGAAGACAGCTACAAGAAGTATGCATAGTCTGCTTTCAACATGATAGTCCAATCATCCTACCCAGAGGTGCGGGAAAAGTTCAATAATGAATGAAGTGATAAATACCAAATTTTCTATTACACAAAAAGCTATCATGCACTAAGGAGAAACAGATTATACAGACGAATCTAAAAATGACAAAAATCCTAAGCTTTATAATCTAAATGATATTAGAAATCACTATATCTAAAAGAATCTGAGCATATAAACAATCCGACAAAATTTTATTTTGCATGATAAAGCACACAGCACGATATGGTTTTAACATGCGACGTGATCATTCTGTCGCAAGCAAACTATGCAAATCTCAAATCAGGTCATTTTAAGCCACTCCAACCAAACTTGTATGCGGGAAAATTAGCATCTAGAAAGAATATAAAAATAGAACTTAATATCGAAGTACCTTTCTACTCATAATGATACTTCTTTGAGAATTGTCTCTTGCATCTATCAGCTTAAGCACCAAAGGATAAACTTCTACCCTTAAACTTCTGGAATTAATGCCTTCAGATATGACTTTTCTAGGTATCTCTGGTCCACCTTTGTACCTGTAAAAAGAAGCTCAATATTCAACGGAATTATTCAAATCAAGTTGGAGTGATAGAACAAGCTAAGAATTTGGTCACAGAAACAATAGATAGTTATCATCCAATCTTAAATTGGGATAGAGATAAAAATGAAGATTTAACACACATAAAAATGTCTTAGCATCATCAAAAGCAATAACTCCAAATGAATATGAACAAGCTTGGTGAACAAATTTATTCCAATATGGTTTTTCTGTGCTCTCAAACACTCTCAATATGCAGAAAAGCCAACCAACATGTGTTGGTAGACATAACTAACAAACCTAGCTAGATCATTAGAAATATTGATATGCATACTTTTTTATCTCAAATGACGTGATTCAGGTCCGTTGGTCCTCGGCATCAAAAGTTTATTTAGAAAAAAGAAATCATTCATCACGATATAAAATAGTAAACTTTCAATTAAGGAATGCTAGCTAATCATTAATAAGAAATTTAGTGCAAAAGAAACATTCCACGTAAATCTAACTTTTATAATGAATAAAATGTTCAGAAATTCCATTAGCACAGGTCAATATATTACACATAAGGCGGATTCCTGTTTTCTTCTAATCATAATGATATGTTTACTCGAGGTTCATGGCATATGTCTTAAGTAGTTTAACATGTCAAACTGCTCTGCGTTATATCAACCATGTTCATTTCCTAAATATTATTATACTTTAAATTTCAATATATTTTACATTAAACAGTTGCCAATCGATGAAGCAGTTATGTTTGAGATATAATAGCTTCTCCTGTTCGTCAAGACTTGATTTGCATTAAGCTGTTTTTTCCAACTTCCATAAACACTACTACCTCTCAAATTTTAAGTAGATAAAATGATGCAGGGTCATAAATTCATTTGAATTTTAATATATAGAATCTAGATAAAATTGCTGAATAAAAATAATCAACATCCAGGGTAAGGACCGGTTGGAAGAAAAATAAATCACATGATTGATGCTCATGGAAACAAGAGAAAAAAGATAAAAACTGACAAACATAGCATATAGAATGCCCAAAAGATACAAGAATGAGAATCACATACCATTCTAGTAGCTTTTTCCAAACTCTTTGGTCAACCAAATGGTAATCCATTCCTTCCTGCAAATCCATGTGAAGCATCGGTCTATCACTTCCTTCATTTGATCCATCAGAAATGAGCTCTTTGTTGTTTAACTGTCCAGGCCTGCGAGGATTTTTCAGAGCAACATTGTTTGAATGATTGCAACGATGAGGAAGTTCAGTCTCGTCAAAACCGACATATGTTTGCCAGTCCTTCCACCATCTGCAAAAGAATGGTAAGGCTTACTACCAAGGTATAGAACCATCTAAGTCAACATTATTTTCTCGTTTCTTTTGTATAAATGAATTCACAGAGAACACAATTTGTGTATGGAGACTAAATTGGCCACATGCAAATAGTTTAGAGACTATTTTGGAAATATAATGAGAAATGAATGGATAAGTTCGCAGCATAAAGCAAACAACCAAGCAACCCATGACTCTGAAAACCATTACCCAAGGACTGAAGTCCTCATTACAAACTTTCTAAAAAAAAAAAACAATACAAGCACCTCTTCTCAAGGTCACAATACATGTTTGACAATAGAAATGGAGCTGAAATATACATAAAAATTGAAAAATAAGTTTAAAAGGAAAAAGCCATCAAAGCCAAACACCAAGTCAAACCACAAAATAAAAAATAATAACAGAATTTCATCATCATCAGTCTAATCCCAAACTATATGGGTCAGCTATGAATCCTTAATTTTTCTTTGTATATATTCAATGTTGTCTAAGATGCTAAGCATATTCTTCAAAAATCATTTTACGGGATTTAACATATTCCTGATCTGCTAATGAGTAAGGGAAATGAATAATGTAATTAGCTATAAAAAATCCTCTACCCAAAAAAATTCTCAATACAGCAAATCTCAGATACAAAAGAACATAAAAATAATATAACATTTAAACTAACCTTATTAAGTGATTTAATTGCGTGGGCAAAATCTCAATCATAAATTTGTATTAAAAAATAGAAAAGTTTTACTGAGATACTTTTAATAGCCTTTTTTTAATTACTTTACTAAGTTTGGTGGGACTTGTCTATGGTATTGATAGAAACTTTATTTAAACAAAAAAGAAATAAAACTAACCAAATAAAGCGCATACCTTAGTGAAAACCAGTATGATACTATTAAAGCACTTTAGATACATTATACAAAATAAAAGAGATGCAAATGAAAGTATAACTTCAGGAATCAAAGTTTGGATGGTCGAAATGAAAAATTCTCAGTGGTACCAAGCACCATCACCTTGGTTGGCTGTATAATACCTATTAGGATTATCACACAATATAAGAAAATACCATAAAGACATAAACATTCAAATTTATGAAACAAAAAATTAGACTGGCAATTTTATGAGAACCTTTATGTTTAGCTTTAGATTGCTGTTTTATGTTGCCCGTAAGCAACATCAAATAATTGCCCCGAGTACATTAGTTGAAGATAGGTTTGATGAGAACATCAAATTGGCACCTCTACTGTTACAAGGAAATTGATTGCGCAGAAGCAAATATTCCTTTAAGACTTCCCTAACAGCTCACTTCGCACATACCTTGCAATTAAAGGCTCGTCTTTGAGAAATTAGCAGTGTAACAGTTGTAAGCTTATAAATTTCTACTAATAGTCCATGATGGAAGTAATGCAATGTATCATGTTCTAATTATTCCTTGTACTCAACAAAATATATTCTGGAAATATCTCATTTTAATCTTATCATCAAGCCTGAAATTTGCTCAAGGAAATTAACATTTGATACCTATGTGCCTGACCGTAGCCAAGAGAATTCAGCACAATGTTAAATATGTGACTTAGACGATAAGTCACCAGAAGAAAAGCTGAAGCGGTCATCCACTCAGAAGACAAGACTTTGAACACAATTTAAGCCTTAAAATCACAGGTGGAAGATGAAATGTACTTTCAGCAGTATTCTCGCTCTCACGGAAACCAGTGGGATTAGAGACCAACCCCTTCGTTCGATGAATTTCAATAAAACTAATATAGAATGGTATCTTTCCTATTAAAGAAATTGATGAGCTTACAATATATTTACAAGAATAGAGATGGTCCAAGGTTTGCTGATCATTTAATTATCTTCTGCAAATAAGCAGGCGTTGTCCAGCCGTTTTAAACTTCTTTCGTTCATTTCTCTACCCTCTGCCCTAGTAACATGATTTTATGGTACTCTATCCAATCACATAGATAAATCCACCACCTGTAGTAATCAGATGTAGCGCAGCTATTTGATATAGAATATGGGCAATCAAATTGCAGGCCTATGCTCCAAAAGATTCAAGAAACCCCAATTTAAAACGCTTGCACACAAAGGCTCCCTAAAATGGAACGCTACCAAATGCCCCCCACTATTATAACTCATCCAACAAACAACAAATTCCAGCTATAACACACAATAACATGGTGCTTGAAGAACTATTCCCTAGAACATAATTATATGGTACTGTATTCAATCAGATAGAGAGATCTACAGCAAGTAGTAATCCGATGCAGCGCAACTATTTGATAAAGAATACGGGCAATTAAATTACAGGCTTACGCTCCAGAATATTAAAACGCCTGCACACAAAGGCTCCCTAACGTGGAACGCTACCAAATCTACCAAATCCCCCCCTCTATTACAAGGCACCCATCAAACAACAAATTCCAGCTATAGCACACAAGAACACGGTGCATGAAGAACTATTCCCCAGAGGCAACAAAAAAATACATTATCAACCAACTACGACTCATATAACTTGAATACAAGCTGCGGAAAAGATCACCTAGCAGAGATGACGTAGGCCGAATCCCCTTCCTTCAGATTAGCTTCTGCCTCCCTCGTCAGCTCCATAATCGTCTCCCTCTCCTCCTCGGGAGTGCACGGCAAACAGCTCTCGAGGGACAACAAGTCCCCGGAATTCATAATCGTCATCCTCGATTCCCCAAACACACGGGAAAGACCAACTCGAATCAGATGGAATCTAGAGAATAGGGATCTGATTCGAAACCCTAGATCGGCGGTAATTTAAGGAAAAAATTCGGGTGGGGTCGCCGCGACGGAATCAGAATCGCCAGCAAACGAGAGAACGGACTGCCTGAGGGAGAACGAACTGCGACGCGACCCTTTATGCTCCCTCTCCTTGGTCATTATTTTCCGAAGTACTTATAGTAAAATAGCCACTGCGGTATGCCATCCACCTGTCCATCCTACCTATCTAGTATCTTCCTTCACGCTGGAACAATTGCAACATTTGTAGGCCAAGTATATTTCCATTGCCACAAACTATTTAAAAGTCAAAATTTATGTTTTAATTAATTCATTTCAATCTAAAATGTATGCAAATATATAAATATATTTATGAATTTAAATGTTGACTCACTCATCTTTTAATAGTATCGCACTTAGCCTCTAATCGCTAAAGTGAAATTAACTTTAAAATTGTTGGGTTCTTTCTTATTTAAAAAAATCAACATCTGAATTGAAGGCCACCTTTGATGGTTGCTAGTGTTTTACCCTAACATTTAAATGATGCCAATATGGTGAGTAAGAAAGACCGTCTAATATAAAAGCTTATTAGTTATTTTTTTTTCTTTTCTGCCTTTTGTGGATGCCCTATTTTAATGGTTGGTGTCTATTGCTTTGCTTAGCTGTGTACGGAAACACTTGTGACATTGGAGATTTATAGTTTATCATCTTAGTACTATACGAAAATTTATTGTCATGAAATAATTTGAGATAAATTTATATAAAAAAAGAATTAATTTGAAAATTTTGGTGCTTAGCCCGAATGTATGTTTAAGTTAAAAAAAAATGTGTTTCTTTACATAAATATATACATATATACATACATGCATGCATGTATGTGTGTATCTATGTGTGTGTATGTATGTATATATATATATATATATATATCTGCGTGTGTCTGTGTGTGTGCAAAAGACCTGGCTTATTAGTACAGTCTCTGACATAAGTCTCTCGGGTCGGGGGTTCGAATCCCATGGCACGGGCTCTTCGAATCAAAATCAAGCACACCGGATTTTAAAACGATATTAGTGTCCATTGAACCAAATATTGATTTCACATTTTCAATATATATATAT